TTCGGTGGCGCCGCGATCCACCTCGTCTTCTATGGCCTTAGGACCATGGCGACACGGTGGATCCCGGCCCTTGCAGACGGTAGGGGTTCGTTTATAAATTGTTTTTCTAGTTCTTCTATGGTGTGTCCTGCTCGGGAAGACGAGGCGGCTATGGTTTTCAGAAGATGGAATAAGGTTCTCCCTGCCTAGCTAGCTCTTATCCTTGTGGTGCGTCTAGCATCGTCGGATGACGTGTGGAGATCTGTCTCTAGCAGATCACTAGAGGATTCGACCGGTGGTTGTCTTTGGTGGATCCGCTTGGATCTGGTATTCCTTCGCCTGTGTCAGTGTGTCTTCAGGTTGGATACTTTCGATCTACATTTGTTTTATCGGTGGCGGTTGCTATTCTGGTGCGCTGACCCTATGTGGCATCAACACTAATGACTTCCTTATTGTCTGCTACAATAAGTTTTGCCCTCACCGGCGAGGGAGGGATGATGACGGTGGTGCGCCTTCAGCTCCCGTCAGTGCTTGTAATCGTCGTTGGGTGCTCTATGGATCCGGATATAAGTTTAATTATTTCTAGTGTTCATTGTAGATTGAAACTTTTCAGGTAACAAAAACTCTCCTCTTCTTCTTAATTAATTGATGGTGGCCGTTTCAAGAAAAAAATTGAACTAAAATCACAACAAGAATTACGGATGGAGTAGGAAAGATCCATTGAAGTCTGGTCCATCGGAATGGCTTTGATTGCTTATCTGCTACCATTTTTTTGCAGACAAGTGACGAAGTCCTTGTGTACCACTTTGTCTGTAGATTTTCTTTTTAGGGATACTTTGTCCGTAGATAAGTAGAAAATGTTCGCGCACATGTATGTATGATCTAACATGATGCAATGCTGCTGAAGGTTCCCCGCAAAATGGATGACACAATACAACCCTTGAAGTTGGGTGTGTAGCTTCAAATGGCTACAGTTGGGTAACATACCTAAAACACAATTCTTGGATAGGCGTGTCTGTTACCACTAATTAGTAAGACTGGCAATGGAGGGGATGCATCCGATTCTTCCCCGAAATCAAAACAACAAGAAACAAAGGTGGTGTGAGCCCCATGCATGCCTGATGCGTCGTGCTTCTCGTGCTAACCTGAAAGTACTCCACATTGATGCCCGCCACATGTTCTCCGTGTTGAATCCAGAAGAGATCATTTCTTGGCAGCTTAGTTATGTCCGGCAAATGTTCCCTTCTTTGTGCACTTTTTCCAAGAAAACTTCACATAGTATATACTCCCATGTTAAGTAATTCCGGGTCAGCAGGGGCTCTGATCCCGTGTGGACTGGTGGTTGCTACTAGTGATTAGCATCAGTTCATAATGCAAATTAACGACCGAATTCTTCTTTTGCAGCAAGTGTTTGGTGGCGTGCATGCAGTGCAACTGCAATGGTACGTTCGTAGCTAGGCCGCTCGTTCCATCGACACCGACGCGACCATGGCCGGGAATGAGCAATCTGAAAACGCCAAAATCGACAGATACAGATTTTGTGTACCTAGGGAAGAAAGAACGGTAGGGGTGGTGAAGGTGGTGTGGAGGAGAGACGAAGGCCGGCCGGCTGGACCAAGACGGGAGAGCAGTCTATAAAGTTTTCATTTATGGATGTGTGCATCTGACGATATAGACAGCAAAATAAAGTTTTCAACCAAAAGTACTAATATCGACATGGCTTCAATACAGCCAGGCCCCAAGCCCCAAGCAGGTATATTCTGGGACGAGGATCCCCTGCCGTGGCCAAGCCTACCTTTGAGTCACTGACACACGGGTCCCACAAAGCATGGGGCCCACCTGTCAGTGACTCAAAGGCAGGGTATGGCAGGGATTGCAAAGTCAGAGGATCCACGTCCATATTCTGCTGTGTGCATCACAAAAATCTAAGCAGATACTGCAGGCGCTCATGTTTTTTTTTTAGGTGAAGGGCGCTCATGTTCTTGTCTAAATAAAGAGGAATTTTACGAAGTCGGTGTTTTGGGCACGGGGCTCCAAGGAGCCGGGTATGTAAAAAAAAAGAACCACATGTACAAGTTCCAAATAATATATTTTTTCTGCACATATACATGTAGATATGCCCTGCATATTTGCAATTTTCACTATTTTTTTATAACCTACACTAAAAATGGTTTAAACATTTGTATTTGATATTTGTAAATATGTATTTCAATTTTAAGAAGACAAGTCCAACTACATACTGCATTCCCGTCATGTACTCACCATTCTCCAGAATGAAACGTCGTAGGCTGTCTAACCCACGATCTATTTTTATTTTTATTTTTGGGAAAGCAGTATCTAGTATAGTATTGCAATAATTTACCTCAAAAATTGCACACAACTTTAAAATACCATGGACAGGATAAAATTGAATTTTCATTTATGTTAATCATTATAAGAGGATACCACACATTTGTTTTACTGGGTGGGGGAGTATATTAATATTTCTATTTTAATATGTGCAAACCATGAATTGTAAGAAATATCCAAAAACATGCAAATGTTCAAGTCCGTTATAAAGTAAGCTGGTATGGAAAATTGAGAATCATTTATTTTGGGGAAAAATATACTTCTGTAAAAAGCATGATTATTTCACACATTTTTCTTACATTTGAGTTGGCCCCTCCCTCGCGCTCAAGTGAAATACTCTGTCTAGGTTGAAATCCAAGTGAAATACATGTGTTGTTTGGACCCAGACGAATTTTTTTTCTAATTCTAAGCAATTTTAAAGCAATAAAAAACTCAAATAGACCATATAACTTACAATAAAATTTGAACATTACTCAGCTCTTGGGTAAAGCAGACTATTATGCTAGCATTTAACAAATGTAATGTTTCTCTTAAAAATGGTTTTACATTTATTCATGCAATTGACAAATTGCCAATGACCATGTTACCAGACATCAGAATTCATGCAAGTGTAAACAGGATTAAACACATATCTATCTCACGAAATTTTCAAAATGAACTATAATGCAGTTAATATCAAAAGGTATATCCTATAATTTAAAAAAAACTGCAAAAGAAAGTACTACAAATAATTCACATTTCCACGAGAGAAATAAAAGTCCCTTATTTTTTAGTTATGGCTGTTCTTATTTAAAAGTGCAACAAATAATTAATATTTTGTTCAATGTTTGTGTCATGTTTCCTATAATAGTTTTAGATATTACTCAAATAATTGATATGTGTGTGAAATTTTCAATTATATTTTAAATCAAAAATTTATGCCTTTATAAAATATCTATAAATTTGATAGAAAAATAAGAACATATTGGTTAATGATTTATGGAAGTACTGATTGAAAATTTTTCGGAAATAATTGAAAATTATGGGAAATGTTTGTCTAATATTAATAAAGTTATTTAAATAATTCATATAATAATAGAAACATTTAAATTCCATATGGAAATATGTCCAAGTAATGAAAATTTGGTACCCTCCTGAAATGTTTTTGATAGAAAATTTACTAAAATAATTTCAATTTGTGTAAATATTTGTGAATTATATTTACTTTTAAAAAATGAAATTGAATTGCTAATTTACTTTCTTAAAAAGTATTTTGATTTTGTAAAGGAAGATTCATTGCAGAAAAGTTGATCTTATAAAAAAAATTAGAACAACAATAACTTCATTCAAATATTATTTTAGAGAAATGGTATGTCTATAAGAAATTTTGTGGAATTTATTGTTAATTTTTCTAACCCATTAAATGAAAAATAATTTAATATTTGAAATTTATGTTAGGTATCTGTATAATATTTTAAAAAAATTCTAAATGTGATCATTGTTTTTGGAATTGATTTGAAAATCAAGAAAAAAAATGAAAATCCTTGCAATGTGCATGGAATGTTTCTTAAATTAATTACATATGACTGAAGGGATTGAAATTTAAATGAACATTTATGAAGTCTGTTTGATACAACCAAATGTGTAAAATAATTATTTTTCTAATGCTATGTAACTTAGATAATAAAAGATTCGTTTGGAAAATATATTTGGAGATACAGGATAAAAAAATATTTTAAAAATATTTTTTAATTCTGTGAGAACCAGACTAACTAAACTTGTTTTGAATATTATTATTTTGAGAAACTCGGTTGGGGTCCACAGTACATATGTCAAAGTATTGAACTGATCTATATAAACCGGAGATAAAAATCTAATACTCCCTCTGTAAACTAATATAATATCTTTTAATCGTAAGTAGTGATTTAAAAGATCTTATATTAGTTTACTGAACACTAAATGAAGCACGGAATAGAAATTGCCAGCAAAAATGGACTCCTTTTCATCTTAGATCAATCAAATAGCTACCTGTACTGAACTAATCTAGAATCCCTTTTATTTTAGTAATCCATTTTTATTTTAGTATATTTTAAAGTAAAAAAATAATTCAAAATTTCAGTATCTAAGTATAAATACTAATAAAAAGAAGAAAGAAAGGGAAGAAATAATGAAAGAGAATAGGCTGTGGGGCAGCATGCTGTTGGTTGGGAGCACTCGTTTGCCCTCGCAGCAACACGAGACACAACACAAGTAGTAGTACGCGGGTAGTAGTAGTGAAAAAAATCCCCAAATTGCCCCCACATGAGCATACATACATAGGCAGAGGGAAAAAAAGTAGGGAGACGAGAAGAAAAAGAAAGAAAAGAAGAGTGGAGAGGGGAACGCGGTCGTGACTGGAGTGGGGGAGTGAGGCACCACGTGGTCTCCTGCCACTCACCTTCGTTTCGTTTCAACACTCTGCTCCTCCCCCTCCCCTGTCCCTTCTCCCCCCCTCCCAAACTCTATAAATATAGCTCTCCCACTCCCACCCTTCCCCATCTCATCTCACTCAGTCACTTCTTCTCCCCTCTCCTCTCACCCGAAACCCACAACGCCAATCATCCGCGCGCGCGCGCTCGCTCGCCGGAGAAGAGAATTGGATCGGCCGGACACCCGCCTTCTTCTTCTTCTTATTCTTCTTCCGAGGATCAGCGATGCAGACTCTGTCCGCGCAGCCCCTGGCCTCCTCCTCTGCCTCTTCATCCATACAGCACCACCATGGGCGCCGACGCGGCGCCAGCTCGGTCCGGTTCGCGCCCCGCGCGGCCGCCGCGGCGGCCGACTCGGTGCTGATCGCCGCCTCCACCAGCACGGCACGCACGCCGGCCTACGTGTCATCGCCGTCCACCAGGAAGGTTCCCGGGTACGAGCAGTCCGCGCTGCCTGCCATTGCCTCGCCGCAGAAGCAGAGCGGCAGCGGCAAGGACGGGCAGAGCTTCAACTTCTTCCAGCGCGCGGCGGCGGCGGCGCTCGACGCCTTCGAGGAGGGGTTCATCCACAATGTCCTGGAGCGGCCCCACGCGCTGCCGCGCACGGCCGACCCCGCCGTGCAGATCGCCGGCAACTTCGCCCCCGTCGGCGATCAGGCCCCCGTGCGCGCGCTCCCGGTCTCCGGCCGCATCCCGCCCTTCATCAACGGCGTCTACGCACGCAACGGCGCCAACCCCTGCTTCGAGCCCACGGCCGGGCACCACCTCTTCGACGGCGACGGCATGGTCCACGCCATCCGCATCCGCAACGGCGCCGCCGAGTCCTACGCCTGCCGCTTCACCGAGACCGCCCGCCTCTCCCAGGAGCGCGCCGTTGGGAGGCCGGTTTTCCCTAAGACCATTGGCGAGCTCCACGGCCACTCTGGCATCGCGAGGCTGGCTCTGTTCTACGCGCGCGGCGCCTGCGGCCTTGTCGACCCGTCCCACGGCACCGGTGTCGCCAACGCCGGCCTCGTCTACTTCAACGGCCGCCTCCTCGCCATGTCCGAGGACGACCTCCCGTACCAGGTCCGCGTCACCGCCGCCGGCGACCTCGAGACCGTCGGCCGCTACGACTTCGACGGCCAGCTCGACTGCGCCATGATCGCGCACCCCAAGCTCGACCCCGTCTCCGGCGAGCTCTTCGCGCTCAGCTACGATGTCATCAAGAAGCCGTACCTCAAGTACTTCTACTTCCACGCCGACGGCACCAAGTCCGCCGACGTCGAGATCGAGCTCGACCAGCCCACCATGATCCACGACTTCGCCATCACCGAGAACTTCGTTGTCGTGCCCGACCACCAGATGGTGTTCAAGCTCGCCGAGATGTTCCGCGGCGGCTCGCCGGTGATGCTCGACAAGGAGAAGACCTCCCGCTTCGGCGTCCTCCCCAAGTACGCCAAGGAGTCGTCGGAGATGATGTGGGTGGACGTGCCCGACTGCTTCTGCTTCCACCTCTGGAACTCGTGGGAGGAGCCGGAGACGGACGAGGTGGTGGTGATCGGCTCCTGCATGACCCCGGCCGACTCCATCTTCAACGACACGGACGACCACCTCGAGAGCGTGCTCACCGAGATCCGGCTCAACACGCGCACCGGCGAGTCCACGCGGCGGGCCATCCTGCCGCTGGAGAGCCAGGTGAACCTCGAGGTCGGCATGGTGAACCGCAACATGCTGGGCCGGAAGACGAGGTACGCCTACCTGGCCGTGGCCGAGCCGTGGCCCAAGGTGTCCGGGTTCGCCAAGGTGGACCTGGTGACCGGCGAGCTCACCAAGTTCGAGTACGGCGAGGGCCGGTTCGGCGGCGAGCCGTGCTTCGTGCCCATGGACGGCGAGCACGCCCGCCCCGGCGCCGAGGACGACGGCTACGTGCTGTCCTTCGTGCGCGACGAGGCCGCCGGCACCTCGGAGCTCCTGGTCGTGAACGCCGCCGACATGCGGCTCGAGGCTACCGTGCAGCTGCCGTCCCGGGTCCCCTACGGCTTCCACGGCACATTCATCGGCGCCGGCGACCTCGACGCCCAGCACTAATCGATTCCTTGGTTCTTTGACCACACCTCGCCCCGCCATTGGTCCTCTCGCTCTCACCACTCCGAGCTTCTGGGAGGAGGAGGAGGCAGAGGAGCAGAGGACGAGCAGAAATTTGGAGGGAAAAGCTTTTCCAGAGGGAGCCACACAGACAGGAGGTCCCCGGAAGCGGTTGCCCCCAAGGCAGGCATGGATACAGTTAGCGGCGGTTACTCATCATCACTCTCTCTTCATCACTTGGTTTTTTGGTTACTTTTTTTTTTACCTTTTCACCTTTTACCCTTAGTACAGTACATGGTAAATTAGTTAGGGTAGTAATACTAGGTGAGTTTAGGGAGGTAGAGAGCTTGCACTGTGGCTGTACAGGGTGCTGAGAGCTCAGCTGGACTCTGTTATTCTAGAGAGACAAGCAAGAGAGGGGAATTGAACCACCCCGTTGTGCTGGAGCTGGAGTGACTCCTGCAACTGAGGTGCTGTTGGGGACTCAATTCCTTTTCTCTGCTGTGTATATATACTCCTCATGATCACTGTCATGTCATATATATAGTAGCAATAGTAATAGTAAAGCTTGATCATGTTCATCATCCTTCCAATGTGTCCATGTGCTCTGCTCTACTGACCAAACGCCTCTCTCTCATGTTTGACTGAATTGCCTTGCTCACCAATAATTCAATTCGGAGCTCGGGCTCATCTATACTAGCTGAACAGTAAAATTGGATTAAAATAAATAGTAAAAAAATCAAAAATACATGAAGCCTTTTTGCATGCAAGATGCTTGAGTGTGCGAGGTGCGTGTGAAATTCGTGGGCATACGACATTGGAGGAGCTCGCGCGCCAAAAAAGACAAAAATCAGGTATGAACATTTTGTTTTTTCAAACTTTCTCACAAGCCTGAAATTTGAGTTTTTGTTACCACGAGCTCCTCGAATGTAAAAACTCTACCAAATCTAGCACAGGCATCACACATTCGACCATATTGCACCCAAAAAAGTTCGATTTTTTTTATTTTTTCTGCTATTTTAAACGATTTTACTATTCACACTGGGAACATCTGCACCTCGGTGCAGAAACGCCGCATCCCTTAGTGATCTTTGTGCTCAGTAAATCTCTCTGTTTTCACTGATTTGGTCTGCTCACATATAACTCTGGGCGTGTGTGTCGGCTTGTGGGGTTTCTGTTGGCTTGTTGTTCCTGTTCCTGCATGCGGCCGCATTATTTGCAGAGCAAGGTTGGTGCCACATTAAAACGCCGGCCTTTGCCTTTGCCTTTTGCTTGCTTTCGCCCCTACACAACACACAATCTGTGGGGCTGCTCATCTTTCTGCTTGTTTGGTGGTGTCTGTCTCCTACTCCTTAAATTTGGGGAGAATTGATTCAGATGCCTGCCTTCGGTTTGAGGCGAATTGATGATTGGAGACCACCGATCCTCCATTCAGTCTTTTTTTGGTGAGTTTGTATGTGAAAAGCAAGAGTTGCGGTTAATTAAGTTGAATCTTCTGATCATAATTCGCCTGTGACTAATTAAGAGAAGTACTTTTATCATTAAAAATCTTATTATTTCTACACAGCCAAAGCAACAAAAAAGGCAAGCGATCCCACCCTGATAAGAGTTCTAAACCTGTGATCAATCCCATGTAACCAGTTGCCAAATACATTAGCAACACTATAAGGAGGGTACAAGACAGAATCTATTTGGATGACTGACTATATAGAACGAGTCAATTTGCATTGGAAGAATAAATGTTATTGTCTCATCATGGTGACAAAAGACACATTGCGGACTTCCATGTCAATTCCTTTTAATAACTTTATCTTTAGTAAGAATGACTCCGCAGCAAATATACGATGGAAATATTTTATTCATAAGCGATATCTTCATCCTCCAGATCTTGTTATTATTATCAACTGATACACATCAGACTGAACTAATGCTCTATACACAAACTTCACTGAGAATTGTCCATTCTCATGTAGGTTCCATCGAAATACAACGGACACATGTGACAATTGCACCATGGACAACAGCTGAAGCAGGATGTTCCACGATTGTAGTCTGGGTCCAATTAAATCCCTTCTGAACCTCACATTTGGCGGAAATGATTCCATTACCGTGGCGATAGTATCACCCTTGTGACGCACAATATTGTGTAGAGCCTGATATTGTTCCCGAAGAGTGGCATTTCCTAGCCACTTATCCTCCCAGAATCTAATTTTCGAGTTGTCCTTAATCGAGAAACACTCATAGCAGAAGAAATATTTTTTCGTAGCCATTAGAGCAGCCCAAAAGTGAGAATAACCAGGCTTTTAGTGTACTTGCGATACCGCCTTGGAGCCCGCATATTTCCGCCTGAGGAGGGTTTGCCATACACCATCTTCCCTCAGTAATTTAAACCACCATTTACCGAGTAGGGCCTGATTCTTAACCTCAAGGCCATGAATTCTCAACCCGCCTTGGTCTTTGGGACAACAACCCACACTCCATTTAGCCAGTCGATATTTCTTTCTCTCGCTATCTCCTTGCCAAAAGAATCTTGATTGAAAATAAACCAATCTATGTAAAACTCCTTTCGACAACTGGAAGGAGGAAATCATATATAGTACCATATTATTTAGTACTGGATTTATGAGGACCAATCTTCTGCCTAGAGACATCAGTTTACCTTTCCAACTGCTAAGTCTTTTTTGCAGCCTCTCCTCGATGTGTTTCCATTGCAATGCAGCACACACAACAAACCTACAAATACAAACTAGAAGGGGGCTCTCGATCGTGTGGCCTCATGTCACAGAGCCGATCGGCGGCAATACCTGGCGGCAGCGTGACCATGGCGCCAGGACATGCTGCACCATTAATGCTCCCCTTTACATAAATGGCGATCTTCTTTGCCAACGCCGACAACTAGATAGTACCACCTCACCTTGCCCAAGAACTGATCACTAGTGGTTGTGCCGCCTCCGCAAGTGCAAGAAGGAGGTGGAACACACTCCGATACACGCAACGCTGTCTGGACGCGACGAAGCCAAGCTCCTCTCGGAGCTGCATTTCGATCACTTCTGGGAGTTGCTACCGAGGATGCGGTGGGGTGTAGCCAAGTGTTGGCGGTGGGGAGGACGGGACGAGCACCACCGGTCTCGGGACGAAGAGGAGGAGTGCCGCCGTGGACAGTGATGATGGAAAGGACACAAAATAAAGAAAAAAAATCATCGGAATCTCACTGGAATTTGGCGGCGGGAGGTCAGTGGGGCTACGGGGTGTCGACAGTTGCGTGTGGTGGCCGGCGGAGGGAAGGAGGATGGTGCTGGAGTGGATGTGGCTGAGCGGAGCAGAGTGGTGGGCAAGAATGAAGAAAAAGACACTCCACGGATGAGAGGAGTGAGTAAATTTAAGGGTTGCGGCGACTGTGGAGGATAAATCAGTTAGGTCATTTTTAGTCCTCATATAAGTTTTGTCCGAAATCAAAGCATCTCTATTTTCACTAAACTTATAGAGAAAATTATCAACATTCACAATGCCAAATAAATATTGTTAGATTCATTATGAAATGTAGTTTCATAATATATGTTTAGTATTGTAGATATTCATATTTTTATATAAATTTGGTCAAACATTGCAAAGTTTGACTTGATACAAATCTAATACGCAGAGTAAAAACGACCGAAGGAAGTACAAACAAAATATAATGTTCACCCAACACCCGTATAATTAAGATGCACACAGCTAACGCGAACGCCAACAGGCACACGCACAAATAAACATCGGACGTCATTGCTTCGTCGAATGTGCACCGAACTATTGAAGCAGGTAGTAGTATATAGCAGCCGTCCGTCCCTGCTTTCTTCACCGTTTGTTGCATCAAAACACAAAATCATCTTTGCATTCAAAGAAAGAAAATTCAGCGTAGAGAGAAGCAGCCGGGAAGAAGACACCCTGCCTCCCTCCAGCCGCAGAAGAAACCCGAGTTGCTCTTCTCTGCCAACAAAGAAACAAGACAGTCAGATCGACCAACTGTTTTCCCCTCTCAAATTTTGTGCTTCCGAAAAGTCATTTCTTGGCCGGATCCTCCGAGCATTTCACCAAGGAAAAGGAACGGAAAAACAAACTAGTAGTGCCAGTCGAGAAGACTGCTTTTCTGTCCTAACTCAGGCACACCAAGAGAGCAAGAAAAGAATCTACGGGCAGCATACAGTTGCGAGGAGAAGGATGGTTTTGGAAGACGCCGGCCGGCGTCAACCTCCTGCCTTCCTTAACTCCAAGGGGATTTCGGCGTCAGCCTTTTAAGCCCTGACCCTGTTGGCTCTCCACACTTGCAGCAGCCAGAGAGAGACACATGTACAAACATCTAGAGGGCTGGCACTAGAGAAGAGCCACACAGACAGAGAGACAGACAGAGAGATGGGAAGCAAACTTTTCCGTCCCAGCGTTCCAGAAACTTCCGCTTCCAGAGGCTGGAAGCTGCCATGCATGTTCGGCATGACCAAACTTCTGTGCTTTGCTTTGCAATACATATGGCATGCTATCGTTTGGTTTTTAGGTGGGATAAGACCGACTCTCTTCTTCTTAATGCAATGCGGGAGCTCCACGCCCTCTTACTAGATTTCGACATCTCGTCGAAAGGAAATAGATACGGCACGCGCTCGGCGCTCGGTGCGGACAGGAGCGGTGACACCTGGGAATCAGCGAGCCGATCGATTGGCACCGGAAAGGAACGGGAAAAGGTTTCTTTCTGCATGAAAACAACCGCTCCACCGGTTGGGTTGGGTGTTTCACCCGGCTACAACTGTGGGTGGTTCCATCGACGGCCGTCCAACTGCAACATGGCGTGAACAATGTGCTGTGCTTTACTTGTCCTGGCTAGCCAGATTAGCTGCTGGCTGCCGCCCGCTGCTGGTGCGATCCATCCATGGAAGGCGATGGACGCGACACGTAGAAAGGCATCAAATATGATGCGTGTGTGCGTCTTATCCTTGAAAAAGATTGAGTCCCTGTGTCCCAAATATCTATCTACC